AACCTATAATATCATTTTCTACCTATAATATTTAATAAAGTATCGACATTTATATTTTCCTTGAATATCTATTTCTACCTGCAATCGGTCCCAAATGCTTCCTTACTCCAAAACCCCAAACACACATAAAAAACCCTATCGCGATTACTGTAATAATAAAAAATTAGGGTTTCGACAACATACTTTTCGATTCGACTGCAGCAACAAACAAACAAACTTCGCTTTAGAAACGCCTTCTGAAATGCAGCACATTACGCTTCGATTTCAAAAACTCGTCCGTTCTATCTTTTTCAGAGGATATTTAGCTATGGCCTTTATATTTCATCGATATGTTATTTATATTTAATCGATACAAATACAAAAGTGTCGATACTTTTGTCAGGTGTCGATACTTTTCGAAAGGATAATTACCTATTTCTTTGAAAGTGTCGATAATTTATTACACGTACTTACGAAAGTATCGACACTTTCAATATATCCGGTATCATTTTACCGTTTTTATCATTTTGATACCGGTATTATCATATTTTTACCTGTTATATCGTGTGGATCGATATATTTTTTAAAGTATCGACACATTATAGGCGCTATAACTGCTTCTCTTTTAAATTCACAAAGTGTCGATCCTTATATAAGTATCGACACTTTTAATATCGGTAACGTTTTACCGGTTTTATCATTTTGTTACCGGTTTTATCATATTTTTACCTGGTATATCGTTTTGGATCGATACATTTTTTAAAAGTATCGACACTTTATAGGATTTAAAACTGCTTCTCTTTTAAATTCACGAAGTGTCGATCCTTATATTAAAGTCCGACACTTTAAATGTATCCGGTAGCGCTTGACCGGTTTTATCATTTCTATACCGGTTTTGTCATAGTTTTACCTGTTATATCGTTTTGGATCGACACATTTTTAATTTGGATCGACACGAACCGTAGCACAATTTTTTAATATTTCTTCATGACTTAGACCTACTTTTATAAGTATGGACACTTTTATAAAAATGATATATACTTCTTTGAAAGTTATGTAATTTATGTTTCAATTTATTTAATAGTGTTTCATGTTTTCCCTACAATATAATTTAATAATTTAATTTACACAAAATATTATTTGATTGTTTTGATATTTTATAAAATTATTTAGAATTTAAATTTAACAATATTAACCAAATATAATAATAAATATGTTTTCAACAGTGAAATAAGTATGGACTTTTATAAAATGATATATACTTTTTGAAAGTTATGTAATTTATGTTTCAATTTTTTTAATAGTGTTTTTTTTCCACCTACAATATTAATTTAATAATTTCATTTACACAAAAAATTATTTGTGTTTTGATATATAAATATTATTTAGATTTTAAATTTAACAATATTAACTAAAGATAATAATAAATATATTTCACAGTGAAAAGTATGGACACTTTTATAAAAAGGATAGATAATTTACAATATAATAGGTACCGCTAAACCGAGTTTATTAAATACATTTTAATGTATCCGGTAATACTGTATATTAACCATATATTAACCCGCCTTTCCTGAGACATTCCCCTGCCTTTCACTATCGATACATCACCATATGATTATTTTATTTAATAATAAAACCTCTTCATTCATTATTCATTCCATTTAATACTTAATATATTGTTTTTAGCTCTCTGATTCTTTATTATTTGTTATACCGATCCACTTGAGCTTAGATTAAGTTGATTACAGAAATAATATTTTTCATTGATTAAATCATTATCGGTTTTATTATCAAATAAAAGGAATAAATAAAAAAATTGAATTTAGTTACTGTTTAATTATATTCTCTTTATTGACAATTCAATATTAAATCGGATAATATTTTTATAATTTATATATACTGATATTTATATTTAAAACTAGTGAATTAAAAATCGGTCCAACTTAAAAAAAAACCTGTTCGAAACTTTATCCGGTGTATAATAAATTAATATTTAAAGCAGTAGTACCCTTAGTCATAAGGAATTATTAATATCTTGTATTCATCTTAATTTGAATTCAAATCCTCCAATTCCGACTGGCCGTCTCACTATTGTCTATTGTTTAGAATTTTATATTTAAAAATAAAACATTAATCAAGACATGTGATTATTCAAATTATTGGATAATTTATAAATTTGGGATGATAAAATTATTATTAGGGTAAAGTACATAAACGGTCCCCCGACTATAGAGTATTACTTTATTAAGTCATTCAACTATTAAAAGTTATAAAATGGTCCTATGACTATACTATAGAGTGTTGCTTTATTGAGTCCGTCGATTATTAAAAGTTACAAAATGGTTACCCGTATATTCATTATGTTCCAAACTCGTCATTTTCCGTTAAAAATTTATCGGTTGTTTGAGTTGAACATTAATATGGTGACAAGTTTGGGATAAAATTTTATCATATACAATCAATAAGTTAACGTTCAACTTAGATTATCGTCAATTTTTTAACAAAAATGACGAGTTTGAAACATATGAATAATTAGATGATCATTTTGTAATTTTTAATAGTCGAAGGGCCAATAAATCAACACTCTATAGTCGGAAGAACATTTTATAACTTTTAATAGTTGAAAGACTTAATAAACAATTCCTTACAGTTGAGGGACCATTTGTGTACTTTACCCAAATTATTTTTTTAAGTTCAAAATAGACATATATAAACACTTTTAAATATTTATTATATGAATTCATCAAACAAATAAAAATAATCAAAATTGTATCAAAAGATAGGAAAAACGTATCATGAATGCCAAGAAAAATATGTCACAGAAGTATGATTATTTTAAAAAATAAAGAAAAAAATATGTGATATAAAAAAAATAAAGAAAAACAATGAATAAAGACCACCATCGATCAATACTAAAGCCAATGCGTCGCCTATCACATAAAGAGAAAAAAGTTAACGGAGAGAACTTTTTAGGGTTGTGAAAGATAAAGAATATCATTTTTCCTTCTACGTAATTAAAATATTTTTTTATCAAAATAAATATTTAAAGTGACATTTTTAGTCAAAATTAATATTTAAAATAATTAATTTCTTTCATCTAAGTACTTCAAGTATTCGTTAAATAATATCAAGTATCAACTTTTTAAGATTTAATGAAAAAAATTGAATACTTTATATACCTATTTTGATAAAAAAAAAATATAATTTAAATATTTATTTTGACTCTTAATCATTTAACAATGAATGATCAAATACTCTGCAGTCGCTGGTGGGGATGAACTTAAGCAGGGACAGTTGCCCCTTGAAATTTTAAAATTATTATATATTTTAAGTTTTTTTCTATGTATTTTCTATTAAAAAATATTTTCACCCTTAGAATTTTATAAATTCATCTTAACATAAAAACCTTGTGATTATCCCTAATCTTCGGTGCTTGAATCCCGAGTCTCTAAAAGTAATAATAATTATTTTAATAATCAAATTCACTTAGTTCATACTAATATTTTAATTATTTATATAAAAATAGCATACTTTATATACTTTTTTATAACACAAGTCTAGAAACCAATTCAAAATATAAAGCCATAATTTGGGATGTATTATCCAACAAATCTTCAGGAATGTTAAAGTTGGGAAAATTCTAGAATGCATGCTATTATGTAATTCACCATTGATTTTATAGGATAAAATTTACAAATAGTCATTAAACTATGTCAAAATTATCCTTTTTGAACATTTAACTTTAAAAAGTTACATAATGAATATTAAATGTTAATTTTGTTATAAAATGGGCACGAAACCATTAAAAATATCTCATTTGACCATTCAATTATAATTAAAATTTAATTTCACTCTTAATTTTAATTGAAATAATTCTTATTAGGTTTGTTGAAAATAAAATAAAATAGATATAGATAAAATTAATATCATCTTTTGATTTTATATAAATTAAAATTTATTTGATATGATATTATAAAACTATGAATGCATGATTTCTAAATTACATTTAAATTTGTTAAATAAAAAGTTAAATACTTAAATCACATCAGTAATAAAAATAATAATTTTATTATTTGATAATATATATTTTCGAACGTCAAAAATTATATATTTTTTATTTTAAAAATACAAAAACAATTAATTAAATAATTAATTATAAAATAATTTTTGCTTAATAAAAAAAATTAATTTCATTGTTTGATAACTAATTTTTTTGGAAATATTTTTTAATTTTAAAAAAAATTTATTTCATATATTTTTAAAAAGTTATAATTTTAAATTACTACTTAAAAACGTTGAAAAATATTAAAGTGAAAATTTAATTATAATTGAGGGTTAAAAATTTAAAAATAAAATTATTATAAATTTTTTATCTTATTTAAATTAATTCCTTATTTCATATTATATAGTTAATAGTTCATACATATTATTAATAGTACATTTCAATAAATGGCCCTAAAATTAGATACAAAATTTGCGGAAAAGTAACAATTTTAATTTCGAATAATCTAATGTCTAATCGCATCTTCTTGGTCTTCTTTATTCTTCTCTTCGCTGTTAAACCAATAGTATAAATGCAGCCTGCTTGGCAGTGTAGTGTGCAATGCCAAAAGCTACGATAAATCCAGAAGTAAAGCTAAGCTCTCACAGTCAAAACTGCCATCGAATCGGCCAAAAATAGTCAAAAGCAGCCAAAGTAACAGAGTCATCTTCCTCCCCTCCCCTCACCTTTCCCCTTTCATCTTCCTTTTCACCCCCAATCGCTATCACTCAAACAAACATTTTGGCACCTTTCTCTTCAGTCCCTCCTTTTTTTACAATAAGCAACTGTCTCCTTTCTTTCCTTCACCCTTTTTGCCAGTGTTATAAACCAATTGTTTCTCTCTCTTTCTCTTTTTTTGTTTGGTTGATTTACGTCACAAATCTGATTTACTGAAAGAGAAGCCAGACTAGATCTTTTTTTCCTTCTTAAAAGATATTTGATCTAGAGATTTAAAGCTGTTTGGGTTTTTGAACCGGTGTTTGGATCGGAAATGGAGACGAGAATGAAGAAATATAGACAAATGAGTCCAGAGAGAGCTAAAGTTTGGACTGAGAAATCTCCCAAGTACCATCAGCATAACCGGAAAGTTCCGGTTGTTTATTATCTCTGTAGAAATCGCCAGCTCGAGCATCCTCATTTCATTGAAGTTCCTCTCTCTTCTCCTGACGGACTGTATTTGAGAGGTAATTTTAATTAACTTTCAAATTTGTTCATTCAGCCACTTTTTTTCTTGATTGATTATTTTCGTAATTTTATTGCTCCGTAGATGTGATTGAGAAGCTTAATAATCTTAGAGGCAGAGGAATGGCATCTTTGCTTTCTTGGTCTTGCAAGAGGTAGCAACAGTTTTTTTTTTGAAATAGACTACGAAAAAATTAAATGCTCTTTGGTTGCTGAGAAACCGCGGGAAAATAATAGATACAAAATATCAAAAAAGTAAATGAAAAAACAAAGAAGGCTTCCCCCCCCCCTCCCGGTTTATTGATTCTGGAGTATTAATTGTTGCAGAAGCTATAGGAATGGATTTGTATGGCATGACCTTTCTGAAGATGATTTAATACTTCCTGCACATGGAACTGAATACGTTCTCAAGGGCTCCGAACTATTTGAAGAATCTAACTCAGGTTAATATCATTTTATGATTTACTTGTATTATATTTCATAGGAGGATAAAAAGGAAATGTAAGCGTAAAGGGTTGATGCTAGTGAATTTTATGTTCAGATCGCATTAGTCCAGTTGGGAATAGCAGTAGATTGCAAAATCTGAAGCAATTACCTGAACCACCATCTTCTTCTAGAAGCCAAGATGATTCTTCATCCTCTTCCAGTATGAATGGGAAGATAACAAAAAATTCTCAGGATGATGAACTCTCATCTCCGGTTAACCGTCCAACTCATGGCTCTGCTGGCGCATCACCGGAGTCTAGATATGGAAAGAATTCTTCCTTGGGTTGTTCACTTAGTTTGACTGAGTATAAGGTTTGTAAAAGTGATGGACTAGCGGATGCTTCGACACAGACCGAGGAAAACACAGACAGACCTAAGACAAGGGTAACTTGTACAAGGGGTGTTTCAACTGATGTTGGGTCGTTAGAACCCGGAGGCAATGAGAATTTCCAGAACCATGTCCCTAACCCTCGTGTGAAAGATAATTCAGAGATATGCAGGAATTCAGTTTCTCCACCGTCCACATCTAGTGCATCATCTACCGGGGGAAAAACTGAAACATTGGAATCTCTAATCCGAGCAGATGCAAGTAAAATCAGTAGTTTTAGGATCCTTGAAGAGGAAGAATTCCGAATGCCAAGCAATGCTAGGCTCAAGGGTACAAGTATGTTGATGCAGTTGATCTCGTGTGGGTCATTATCCGTGAAAAACCATAGTTTTGGATTTGTTCCAACCTACAGGCCTAGGTTTTCTCATTCAAAATTTTCATCACCATTGTTCTCTACTTCAATCATGTTGGGAGAGCTTGACTGCTTATCAGAGAATCCAAGGTTGATGGGCCTGAGATTGGAAGATAAAGAATATTTCAGTGGTAGTTTGGTTGAGACAAAAATGCTCAAGCAAGAAAGACATACCACTCTGAAACGATCTTCTTCTTATAGTGATGATCGGTAAGTCTGTTTAAATCCATTTGTGTTGGTCTTTTAGGGCAGTAAATGAATGAACTATTTTGATAACAAATGCGAAGCATTTTAATGGTCAAATGTGCTCATAAATAATTCAGTTGTGACAACTCTAGACCTAGAGTACGGCAATGGGAACATAGTTCAAAATAACTATGTGCTTAGCACAATAAGATTCCATCCAATTGCTTCAGATAAAATCTTTTAGACCTTTGATATTGGAGAGTCTGACTGCCTATGAATATAGCAAAGGCCATGCATTAAACTTTATTCTTTTTGTGCTTCAATCATGTAGAGATAATCATGTAGAGATATTTTTCATTGCAACAAGATTCTTCTTCTTGTTCTACTTAGGAAGCCTCATATATATAGTAATAAAGATCCTCCTCCATGTATGTCTGTAATCATCATTCATCAATGTAGAATTTGAAAGCGTTATAAATACTCTAGGTAATATTTGCATCTTCTTTGATGTCAGAAGGCATTTCTTAGTTGAGGTGAGAACTATGATTAGAATTGGGCACATAGACCGACTGGTTTAGGCTTCTTTAGAATGAAATGTGCTCTGTTTCATGTATATAATGTAGCGTCAGCTACATTTCTTTTGTAGCTCATGCTAAACTCATGAAACTAAGTTGAATTATAGGACATGTAAGGAGCTGGAATCAGCTGAAGACAAAGAAGAGACAAATTCAGGACACACAAAATGCATCCCCTGCTCTATCAAAGCTTCACTAAGCAAGCAACCAAGGAGCGAGTCGATGAGATCTCCTATTTCTGATAAACCAAGAAACTCCTCTGACGGGATCGACAACCCGCGCTCTGTATCGAGTAACACATCTGCTGTTAGCAGTAGAAGAATGACTGAGCCTGTTGTTAATCACAAGCAATCAAATAGGTTGGATTCATTCAGAGAAGAGCAGCAGGTGATAAAAATTGAAGAAAGTTAAGTATAAATTCCTCCATTAGAATTTTCAGGACGGAAGATCAAAAATTAATTTTACATACGACTTTTCTTGTTTCGTATTAGTTGACTAACACATGATTTCCCTCAACAGGCTTGCTTCAGGCGCTCGGGTTATAATCCAATCCAAGGCGCCTTGTGATACCGTTGTTGGTTGCTCATAGGGGAGCAGCATGTTAAAGGTAAAGATCAAGCCTTGGATCCTTTTTTGAGAAATCTCGTTCAATGTAATTCAGAATTGGTTTTGAATTTCAAACAATGTTATGTTAGATAATATTTTGTGGGGGGGGTCAAATTGGATGATTCTGTATATCTGGAAAGCTACAAAAAAGAAAGAGAAAGGTAGATATGGCACCAGATGGAAGGAGTGAATTTTTTGTTCAGCTTTCATATATGAGATTCTCCTTTTATGCAACTACAAGCATTCTTTATTTTACTTTTACCACAAGATACAAAAACTGCACTGATTGCGCTCTATTTGTCCCGGATATATTTAGTTTTGCGAATAACATAGCTAGTAGCTACATTCAAAGGAAATATTGGTCTTGATTGAATGAGGCAGTTTGGCTTCCTAGGATGCTGTTTACCTTTGAGGCTAGGCTTGGAGAATGAGGTACAGTTTTGAGAGCTTAGAATCCTATGTAGTTCACTTTCAGGTTGACCCTGTGCTTAGGAGCCCCTTTTGTTTGCATGTTTTTGTTTGACTGTAAGGTCAAAGCAAAAAGACCCCAACTTCCACATAGCTTTTTGCCTAGTGGGATGGCTCCACTTCGAGTATCATGTCTGTTGTTTTTCTTTAGTGGGGGCGTCTTTGTCAATGCAAAGTGCCTTTATTGTTGAATTTGAAATCAGCAGATTGACCCCGCGATATTCCAACAGTTGTCAATGCAGGGTTGAGTGGACCAGACTCTTGAAATATAACTGCAAAATGATGTCTTAATACTGATAGGACAGAAACATAAATCGAAAAATGAATCGACAGACATTCTGTCGTGGTAAATAATTGATTTAGAAATAAATTAATCCCGATTAGTGTCGATGCCTTTCGAGATTACCATAGTTTATTCAAAAAGTGTATACCCCAAAATTTAGATTGGGTGATGGTGGCAAGAACGGAGAAGCTTTGAAAAGCAGTGAAAAATATAGAGATAAAAATGTTGTTTAAGATTATACAAATTATTAAAAAGACCTCGGTATTTATAGGTTGAATACGACACAACATATATCCATACGGAATAATAGCAGCAATAACAGCTGATATAATAACATGCTTGAAATAACATTTAAAATAACGTGCGTGGGTACGTGTCGAAAATATGTAGATGTTTTAAACAGACTTAGTGTAGTTTCACAGTTGCCCATTTTTATCGAGGAGATGAAGATCGAAGGGTAAGGTTCGAAATTGCCGAAAGATGAACGAAACGTCAGAAAAGATTAGAAAATCTAGTGGGATGAGACACTAGGTCCCTTAAGCAAGGTCTAGGGTTTGAATCCTGATGTTTGCGAATGGAGCAAACTGGGTCTACAGTATCCGATCTAGATTAGTCGGCTAATAGATCGTATACCAGTGATTAATAAAAAATAAAAAAAGAAAAAAAGTGGGTGATGTCTTAGAACCCTAAATCCAAATATTCACATGACATGATTGAAAGTCGTAGTTATTAAACTAGGCTTGTTGTATGAGCTTTTACCTTCCTTTTCTGTTTGCTTTTGAAATGATGAAAAAAGCCTCGGGGACTGAGTCACTCGGCCTCGGAGACTTAAGCACAAAACACACATACTTTTTTTTGTTGCTTTGAGGAACACACAACACATACAAATACATGTGACAATCAGCAATAGTATAAAGGCTTAAGGTATATTTCAATTCCTTTATTTAAAATTCTGTTTTGGGCTCTATCGGAGAATTTCTTCTAGAAGGTAACCCAAGTATCGTGTGCCATGTTGGAGGCTGTTATTTTTTGATTTGGATGATTTATCTGCTTGTGCTGCATTTCGAGTGTAGTTTTGTTCGGGATTAAACTGTGTTGGGAGTAGGTAAGCAAACTTCCCACTGTCTAGATACTCAGGGTAGATATTTCCTCTTGGTGAGCTAGTAGTTTTTTCGAGCTATATGTTTTTTTTTTGTTTTGGTGTCTTGTTCCCTTTCGTGGGTAATGTTTATGTTTCACTTAGTTTCAATGCTCTGCTGCTTGGGTTGGTTTGCGGTTTTGAGTTTGCAGTAGTTCATGTCTTGGGACAGAAGACAGATTTTCTTTTTTGTTTGGTTGGACTGGGGCACGTTTTCGTGGTTGTTTGGGTTGTGCTTGCTCTTGTAGTTGGTAGGGAGCGGTTGGCTTCCATGCGAGTATTAAGCAAGATTTTGGAGTAACTGTGTTATAATTGTTGTTAATACCTTGATGTTTGAGATGTGGAACTTGTAGAAGGAGTTTCGTCTGCAAAAGGTTCAAACGAAGAAGTTAGTTCTATGACAATGAAGGGACGTTTAAAGTGATTGCTCTCATGGTAGTCAAGTCATGGGATCTGGTCTGAAAAAGCTAGACAGCGGAGGGTAGTTTAACCCGGTGGAACGACTCGCTTCTCACCGGTGGTGCTGATTATTAATTTGTTTAGGTTTACTGCTTGGACCGAGGTTCATTGTGTTGGGCAACTTACTAGTGAAGCAGTCTTAGTGCAGACCGACTTTTGCTTGTTTCATTAGCCCCACGTTTGAGTTTTTTATACTTTTGCGGCGTGATGTATCAGGCATTTGTTCATCCATTCTTGATCTTTTGGGGCCTTCTCGTGAAGAGTGTGGGATGAGTTTCAGGCCATTTTGTAAGCACTGTTTTTAGTGTATTTGTATGCTGTAGTTGGCTGTCTTGTGCGTTTGTTCAGTTGGTGTGTTGAACTGCTTTATCAATGGCATCATCTAGGAGCACTCTTTTTCTTTATATTTTCAAACATCAAACTCTAAAATGATATTAATATAAGAATAATGTATCAAAATCTATGAGAAAGTATTAACACTTTTCAAAGGGTATCGACACTTTAATTTCTGTTTAATTGTTTAAAATATCGAAGCTTAAAACAGTAGTTGAAGGTATCCATACACATAGTATCGGTACCTAAGGAAGGGTTTAGGTAGCAATTTTACTTGATAAAATAAGAAAAAATGTTTCACACTTTATGTAAGTTAAAAATGTTTCAAAGTGTTTTAAAAGATTGTAAGACATTAGATTTGAGTTGGGCAAACAATAACTAAATACATATCTAAACTGACATTTTTTTTATTAAGCTAAGGTGATTATAAAGTAGTGTATTTTCTAAATACTCTCAAAAATAAATGTTCAATCACTCTATTGAACCACTGGTGCTCGAACACGTAACTTCTAATAACAATGAATGATTTTTATATGACATTATACTTTAATAATCAATAATATTTTAAATTTGGAGAGTCAATTTGAAATATGAGAGTATAATTTAGGGATGTAAATTTCAATAACCATGAACTAATCTTAATTTATGCATGGTTGTGCTATCTTTGAATAACCCATTTGCCAACAACTAAGAATTTTAAGGCCCAAATTAAAGTATCCCAACAACGGCAAAATTGGCCCAATAAACTAAGCGAGTTAAAAAATTAATTCATTAAGTCACCTCGAAAATTAATTTGAGATTTATGACAAAAGCTACGGTACAGGCAAGTTTGTCATGCTCACATGGCGAGTTTGTCCAAATAATATTTTTTTTATCTAAATTCATCATGTCGGGATGACGAGTTCTTATAAAATATTTTTAATTGATTTTTTCTAGTTAGAAGGACAAATTCTAATAAAAAATATATTTTATTAAAACTCGTCACTTCGACATAATGAATTTTAAGTCGCTCTAGCAATTAGTAGATGTCGTAGTTCTCAAAAATAAAAAATCTGATACCGTACAGTATTGGGCAAAATTTACACCTAACAACCCCAATAAATGGGCCGAAATTAGGGTAAACTAAACTAAAGCCGAAGCCAAGCCTCCGAGCGCTTCCACTATATAATTGACCTCCATCCCACAATGTCGCCGTTCTGCTCCGCCTTCAAACCCTAGGGTTTCTTTAGTTAGGGTTGTAATAGCGATTCAGAAAAAAGAAGCCCTTTTTTTCTTATCTATTTTTTTGAAGCTTCACTATCTGGTCAGTGTGGATTCAATCCGTTCCCATATGACTCGTTCCCTTGAAGCGAGATTCATTGCGTTGCTTGGTTTTTTCCTATCCCTAAAGTTTTATTCTCTCTGCTTTAGGGAGTACAATCGAGCAACTATATTTTAAATCGTTTGTTTCTGGGAGTGTCGTTTTTATCTGAAGAACAATGATGAGCCATAACAGACCTGTAATGATTTGCGAATATGATCGCAGATTCTTATGAACATCTAAGGGACTGAGTTCTTCTCTGATAAATACGCTCCTGATTTCCTTCTTTTTCTGATTTATATATAATTGACTGTCTTCTATTTTGATTTTTGAAGACCTGATTTTAATAATGCTATAATTTGGGTTTTAATGATAAAAAAAGTAGCCTGGAATTATTGTTCTTTTTGCAGTCCAGTTCCTCTAATTTGAGCTTTGAGAAGTACATTTTACAATTTTTGTTTTGTACGGATTTTTATTTATTTAATTTATCTTTCATTTTAGCTTTGTTTAATTGATATGAAAAATAATTGGTATTTGTACTGTTGATGCAATGCTATATGTATTTGTATGTAAGAATAAAGTCTCAATTTTACCAACAACCAGTTAATCTAGTAGAAGCGTTAGATTTTTAAACAATATCAACATTTCGAATTCTCATGTTTGGATATAAAGTAAATTGGATTGATGAATTGCCCCATAATAGACATATGCGAAACTAAAAAAAAAATTAATTTCATTACTAAATTGATATACATGAAACAAAGTTGAAAAAAAAAGGTTAAAGTTATGCGTTTTTAATTGTTATAATGTTTAGAAAATAAAAAGTAATTCAGTTCACACAAGAAAAATACAAATTTCATATTGATTGCTTCTCTCTCTTCTATAAAATCTTAAACAATAAAAAAAATTAATTCTCAAATAAGTGATTAAACTATACTTTTTATGGTAAATAAGTGTCTATATTTTTTAGCATGCAAGTTATAAATATTTGCACTTTAGGTGTTTGAGTCGTCAATGTTAGTT